ATAACGTATGCTATCCTCTTATCATTGCTTTGTTATTTAATTAGATTATTGTCTATTACTTTATTAAAAGACAAATCGGAGTTTACCAAGCCTCAATTATCTATGAATCTCTCATGTATATATATATATATATAAGGCTTGTGATGAATGAATAGATAAATGCATAGATGTAAATATATATAAAGCTTGTCACTTCTACGTGTATCATTTCACAACTAGCTTTATTACGAAACAGTGCAGTTTGCATAAGTGAACATTTAAACGTAGTAAACGATTGAAGTCGAAGACAAGCATTTTACAGGTAAGTGTATTTAACTATTTTTTATCAATATTGTATCCTTTTGACACTGATATTTGAGGTTTGTTAATGAAAATTTTAAATAAAGTCTTAACGTGTCAAACATTGGGTGCGATCCACTTGACGCTACAAATGCTTCGAAACTTTTGATTGACCAATCGGAAGAAAGAATTTTACTAACCAATCAACAAATGCTTCGAAGCATTCATAGCATCAAGTGGACTGTAGTCATTGTAATTATATTATAGTACATTTTTTAATACATTATATTTTGAAAACTTGGGATTATCTTGCCAATGATACAATGATATGTGTGAAACATATAAATAAAAAGAATTTTATTTAATTCTATGATATATGTATATAACTTAATATACAGTGTAACAATTAAATTCCCGGACTGAGGCCATCAAAAACTCACAAAAGGATTGAAAATATTTATTTATATCATCATTTATAACGCGCGTTTTCCATTGGCAGAACTAATGCGCACTCAGTGCACTTTAAAGCTGTTATACACAAATCAATGTAAAGATGTATGTTTAATAAAAATATAGAAACAAGTTAAACCGTAAAATTATCAATACATTTTATTGTGCTATTTGATAAAATATATATTTATGCATGTCATTAATTGAGATTTCACTTTTAACATTTAGATTAAAGTAATGTACAACAGCCTTAAAATGTGAACTGAACGCGCACCAGTTCTGCCAATGAAAAATGCTATTAATATTCATAATTCATATTTTTAGTTATTATTATTTAGTTATTAATTCTTATTTTTAGTTACATTAGTTTACATGTAATAAAAAGAAACGGTGCTAAATAAACCTGAGGTACATTGTTCGGAATCGGACAAAAACTATATTAAATGGTAACACTAATATCTTTAATCTTTTTTTATAGCTTTAGTCCGAGAAATTAATTGTTACATTGTGTGTACCATAATAAAAAAAAACAATACATCAATAGAAATTTCGAATAATCTGTAAATTTCGTTCTTAAAAGAAGAAAAGTTTAAATTGCAAACGAGCAAACATTACGGACAACTGTAAGTTCTTAGGACTTAGGCCACACTTGTTTATTTTATAGATAATTTTAGTCATATATATAAATAATTTTCTATACATAATTTTTCCTTAAATTTTCCATATAAGTAATTTAAGTTATTTAAATAATCTTATATCGCGTAAAATATAATCGAAAAATATCGTAAAATATATCGAATATCTATGGAAAATCTTAACTCAAGTAATTATTTATTTTCTTTATTTCTTAAATCAGAGAAAATAAGCCATAACAAATGTATAAATATAATTCATTCGTCAATGCAATAAAAATTGCTATACTTCTTGAGACTAATAAGAAAACGCAATACGAGATATATAGTATGTCCGTGAAGTCATAATGGGGCTTGAAAATAATATAACTTATTAAGAAAACAATTTAGAACACGAATTGTACTTGCACGTAATTGAAGAGCAAATCAAACATTTTTTACTGTGTAACGTTGACAGGACCACATTACTCGATAGCCGTACACATGCAACTATTCAAGACCACACACATCATGTCAGGTCACTTATGCACGTTTGCGTCAATGCAAATTAACTTTAATTTTGGTTTAGTTTATTCTTTATCTTTTTCTACTTTTTAGAACAAAAAAGATAAAAAATAAGTTAATTGAGATTAATATTAATTTACATTAGCACAAATGATCATCAGTGTATTATTATCAAAAGTAAATAGTCACTGATGATATATATGATCATAATTATAAGAATACTACTTGAAATCAGTAAGACTTCATTAAAAAAATTAATTAGTAAAAATAATTATTTTAATAAATAATATTAGAAAGTATATATATAAAAACAATAGCTATTATGAACAACAAAATTAGTACCCCCATAGCAAAAATGTCACAGTTACATCACAACAATCATAGTTACATGATGGTTTAAACCAAAATTAAAGTTAATTTGCATTGACGGAAACGTGCATAAGTGATCTGACATGATGTGTGTGGCCTTGAATAGTTGCACACGGCTATCGAGTATTGTGGTCCTGTCAACGTTACGTGCAAATGCTTTGTAATGTGTTATGACAATCTGATAGTGATATTTGACAGTGATATTTAACAATCTGATAGCATATTATCTTCCTGACTATTTTGACTCTATTGTGACGTGAATGTGACCCATTGCCCCATGGGGGCAATGTGAGCTACTCAAATCAGTGAACATTATTTTGTGCAATAAAAAAAATGGCAAATTGGTAATTATATACTTAATCCTATTTTCGGTTATAGTCTGCTCTTAGTGCTTAAATATTTTGATATAAATTTATATATTTAATATTACAAACCGCGCGCCAAAATTTTTTTAGTTCTGAAACGCAATAATGAACAAAACTAGAGTAGTAATATCATATATTAAACTGACAAGCAAACAATTTAATAATGTTGCTAATAAACATCTTAAAAGAATATTAATAACTTGATGTAAAATAATAAGCATCTTAAAAACTAGGACTAACATATTTCGAAAAATATATCCCGGCTAAAATATTTAAATAATATTTTTTGCAACAAACTATTCACAGTTTTTAAGATGCTTATTAGCATCAAATTATTAATATCCTTCTAAGATATTTATTAACATTAATATTATCGATTTGAATAGATCTAAATAAATAAAAAATTACAATTAATATTTTAATGTCTAATATACATAAGAAATTATAAAATTACGAAAAGAAATAAAATTTTGACAATTGCTGCAGTAAAATCAAATTATCGTCTTTAATATAAATTGATTTTCTAAATAAATATAGTCTCGCCTATACTGTAATACGTTATTTTTACTAATTTCACAATGAAATCTTATTTGCATTAATCTGCATAATCAGTGATCCAGCTAACGTTAAATATTCATAGAAAGTTCGATTCGTATTCCTAATGTGTCGAATATTTCGGCATAGTGAAAGAATCGCACAGATTATACAAATGTCGATGAAATGTTCAAAATATTGTATGAATACAATGTAATATATACAATGTAACACCTTGTAATATATCACGAAAATCACTCGCGAGCAAGTAGTACACATTTCCGCTGACAGAAGGCCGCGGCGGAGAATACCCGTTAACAAGTTTACATTCATCCATTAACAAGAATTATCTGGGATAGAGTATAAGGAGCGCAGCATTTTGTCTGTAAAGTAACAAAATTGAGACCGCAGGTGAAAGTGTGAAGTGTGTTTAAAAACTGATTCAGGGACCGGGCGGACCTAGAATTTCTGGAAAAATTAAAATTTTACGGAACATATATGGAACATTCTCGGAATATGTAACGATATACATATAAATGAAATTTTGACCGATATTTGAATGTTGCTTTTACATTCCGTAAATATTTCGGAATGTTCCGGAATACTCTTGGAACGTTTTTTTGGGAGGATTTTAGGAACTTTTTATGAATATTTTAAGAATATTTAGCATTAGCTAAGGAGATGTAGGATGAAAAAGCACAGTGTGTGTTTTATACTGAAAATCAATGAAATACTCACTGATTCTTAGTGAAATGCTTTTTTATCAGTTTCAATTAGTAATATTTTCAATTAGTAATTTGATACAATTTTAGAGAATAATAGAGAATACAAGTTAGTAAAAATAGGCTTGATGAGTCTAACATAACATATGATATTGAATGGTTGAACACTCAATAGCTATCGAATATTAACATCCACGTTACACGGTAAAAAATGCTTGTTTTTTCACTTCAATTACGTTTATGTTTCTAATTTGTTTGTTTACTAATTATAGCACTTTGAAATCATGACTCTCCGGATATATATTGCATTATAAATATATTTTATATGTACACAGAAAAAAAATTTGCAGATTTTAAATAAATATTTACTCCAATATAGTATTAACGAAATATTTACTAAATGTAAACATATATTTATTTGATTTAAACATAACTGTTTTATTTTGAATAAATATTTATTTACTATAAATAAATATTTCGTTAGTACTATTAGAGCAAATATTTATTTAAAATCTGCAAATTTTTTTTTCAGAGTATACATATAGTATATGAACATAATACTTAAATATGAACATAATTTATACACATATAATAACATATATACACATGTAATAATAACATATTTGTTTAAACAATAAAAATCAATTAATAAACATTTATTTAAATAGAGAGAATCAAAGTTTATTAGAAAGAAATAAAAAAATTAATTGTGGAATAGCGAGCCGCAATCATGTACTTATCTAATCTTAGATGAGATAAGTACATGATTGCGGCTCACTATTCCACAATTAACGTGTTTTTTATCCACTTTACCATCGTTTTTTTCTTTGTATCATTCTATATTTAAGACAGATACATTTCTCTGTTTGAAAAGACGCTGCTTCAATTAAGAGCGTAATGGAAAACCGCTTTTTGATTAATATATTTTGCGTTAAGACTCCGTGAATATAATTTTTTGCAATAAGTCTCAACGCAAAATATATTAGTCAAAAAGTAAGAATCTCAACGCAAAATATATTAGTCAAAAAGCGATTTTCCATTACGCTCTTAATTGAAGCAGCGTCTTTTCAAACAGAGAAATGCATCTGTCTTAAATATAGAATGATACAAAGAAAAAAACGATGGTAAAGTGAATAAAAAACAGTGAAAGAAAAAAATGAAAAGATCGGAATAAGTGAAGAAAACCAGTTGGAAAAACATAGAGAGAAAACGTGAATAAATCTTACCACAAACAATGAATTATCATAAAGAGTCGTTTTCGCATTTTGTGACACGATGGGAAAGACAACAATTTGTCGGGGAAATTCTTCAATTTCTATTCCTAATTTTAATTCCTAATTTTAATTTCAGGAATGGCCCTAGAGACGTTGACATGGCTAAATCTAAGCTTTGTGGAGAAGATCCTGCGAAAATCAGAAGAAGACGGTTCGATTCAGGTGATTGATATGTCTTCAAAACCAGCCACGAACAAAGGTGACAATTATCTTAGCGACATGATCAGGATTACGGTTGAATTTTCACGTAATCAAAGCGGCCGTGAGATTAAAGAGAAAAAATCTATTATTGTCAAACTCTCGCCTATAATCGAAAGTGTTCGACAAAAATTCGTAAGTTGATTTAATATATACATTTTTTATACACACAGAGATGAGAGAGAGAGAGAGAGAGAGAGAGAAATATTTAACTCTATAATACGTGAACGATTTTATTTTTTCGGATTAGATTTTTATCATGTAACGAAAAAATTAGGATAATTTATATTTGAGTAATCAGTAATTAAAAATAAAATTAGTGATTGAAAATAAAATTATTTTTATAAATTAAGTTCGAATAAAGAGCAAATATAAATGTATTTAAAGAAAATATTTTTCACTTGTTTTAAAACTAATTTTAATTTGTAGAACACAAAATTATTATTTATTTGACCAAGAAGTTAAAAACTTCTACTACACAAATTTTTATTTAGACTTTAAATTTATACAAAAAATAATTGCATGCTTGTTAGATTAAAAGATTCCATTTATTAAAATAATTATTAATGTGGGTTAATTAGAATAAATCAATAAACAAAAGAAGGGCAACGAGCCAATTATACTGTAAGATATTTAATAATCGTATATATACAAACGTTTCGACACCGATCGGGTCATTTTCAATGTAAAACAATAAACACTCTTACATAAATTATCGGAAAATTCGGTCAAATTATAATGTCCAGTAAAAAGTTCGGTTGTATTCATAATATGCGGTCCATATGTAAAAATATCAAAGGAGATCTCATCTCACTTTTCGCAATTCTACAATCTTACAAATAAATAATAAATTAACATTGCGTTATAATTTAAATTATCAATGTACATTTATAATAAATTAAATTAAAATACAAATTAAATAAAAAATATATACCTTAAATTGTCTTAATGATGTAAGTTA